GATGGAGGAGAGATAAATAGAAAATTAGTTGATGATATGATCGAGAAGAACGAAGAGATTTTATATAAAGTAGAAAGAGCAATGAATCCAATGTTTGACCATTCTGGTGAGAAGTCTAAAAACTGTGATGTGAAAGGAAAAAGTATTCTTGAATGAGATTATTCACAAATCGCCTGATTGACCTTTTTCCTCAATCCCCCCCCCCTTACAGTATCTCTGATAAACTGAGTCATATGTTGTGTAGCTACTGTATAGTATTATTCTTCTTTCTGTATTACAATGAACTATTAGACAACATTTTTTTTTTTAGACACTTTCTATTTTACTTTTCATAGCAAATGTGTTATCTTACAACTTGAGAAGGCAGGATTTACAAATTCGGTTTTCCTATCTGATATCTTATTTGGGTGGTTGTCAGGCATCGAAACACCACGGATCTCATTAATTCTCAAATCATTCGGCGAGAGTTTGCGGGTCAGGGTTAAGCAGCAGCGTGAAGTCTTCTTGGTTACTAAGAACAGTCATTGAAACATCCCCAGATCACTTCGGTCTCAATCTGGTCGTAATCTCCTCATAACCACAGATTTCATATTTTGATCACGTTTTCACACCTGACAACCGCCCAGATGAGATAACAGATAAGAAAACCGAAGTTTCTGATCTCCGAAGATATCAAACGAATAATAATATGGAAATGGAAATATCTTTCTGTTATGATTTCATTTTCTTGTTATTCTTGTCTTATTCTCGGTTTATATTGATATCAACGCACTATTTACACGTACTTTCTTCACGTAAATGCTTCTAACTATACAACTTTCAGGTGAATACATGGTGGCTCCACTCCTAATCAGTCTTTTCCTTGCTACGCTTTCACTTGCAGGTATGACGAATCTATTAAGAATGATTTAAAGATTTAAAATTCTTACAACTTGAGAAGGCAGGATTTACAAATTCGGTTTTCTTATCTGTTATCTCATCTGGGCGGGTGTCAGGCATTGAAACCACACGGATCTCATTGACTCTCAAATTTTTCAAGTCAGGATTACTCAGAAGCAGAAGTGTTTAATTTTTGTGACGTTTCACTTGTAAGCTTGATATTCCACATCGTAGCTGCTCAAGCAGAAATATTTACAACCTTTCGATTTAATACTCTTCAAGTTCAACGTCCAAGAATGTAGGAGATGAATGGAAATTGCAACTGAAATTTGAATCGCATTATAGATTGAAGATGATGACACCTTTGAGGTCAACAGTGATCTCAATGAACAACTTTATCGGATTAAGATGAACAACATCCATGTTAAGAAAGTTGTAAGTTGATGAATGTTTTATATTTCCTTATTGAGTGTCTCAGAAAGAAAAAAACAAAAATACTGAGCAGCAAGTACACCTGACTCGTCAGTTCCAACTGGATGCTGCCATCGTTAGAGTTATGAAGTCCAGGAAGGAAACGACTCACGCACATCTACTTGAAGAGTTGAAGACACAACTGAGGTCAGCCAATTAATATTTCCAACTAAGATTAGCAGAAACTTTACTGATTTCCGGTGGATTTTTAAGCGCTATCGACTACCCTCTCTTGAGATTCTACACAATTATGTGTGTACTCTAAGCTGCATTGGATAGGTAGGCTGTTTACTTTTAATGGTTCAAATGTAATAATTCATTCGGCTATATCTTCGAAAGAAGTAACGAATTATCAACATACGAATAAGCGCGACTTGGATATTGTGTGTAGATTGTTCACCAAATAGAAGAATACGGAAATAAATAATCAATTTCCTTAAGTGCATTTAGTGAACTTCTCGCAGAACTGTCTTGGATTCATTTGAAAATATGTTGATTTGATGATTTTACGATAAACAGTTATAACAAACCTGGCGATCATAAAATCCTGACAGTGGGCCTTGAATTAATGTTTGGTTGGAAACATCTTTCCCACAAAAATGAGGCTGCTCCGTGCAGACTTTTCCTGCGAGATACGTGTTCATTGTAATAATTGGACTAGGACAATCTCCAGCAAATAGGACAAGCTCCGTAGACAGAACAAAGCCATGGTTGTTTCTCGAGTTCATCATTTTCGGGAAAAAAGTCGTGAGATATTTGTTGTACCGCGTTGATTAATGTTTTTCCGTTGTTGTAGCAGTTAGTCGTTACATTTGGTAACGTAACGACTAACTGCTACAACTACGAAGCAAATCGTTACTTTTCGTTATTGTTTAATGGCGACTTTGCGTATTCGCCGTAATGAAGTAATACTGCTGCTGATACCATTTCATTCCGAAATGTTCATTATTTCAGAATAAGCTCAACGTGTATCGTCATTTCTCTGGCCATGCGCCAGAAATTTTAAGAGGAAGACTGTTCTCAGTTGAAATATGTTGAAAATATATTTGCGCAAACCAATGATGAAAATACATAAAGTGTTATTTTGAGATAAGTGGTTCTAAAGCTTTTTCAAAATTGTTCTGAATATTTTCCTTTGCGAATTTCACTCAGCTTCCATACACTTCTGTTATCCAAAGATAATTCTAGATCATGGTATTCTAATAATGTTCCACGATGACCGGTAGAAATATAATTGATACCATTCTATAACTTTCTCTTTTTTTTACGTGGCCACTAACAATTCACCTTTTTGAGCATACTATACATTCTCTTCTCCATATCTTCGCTTACACTTGACGTTCCTTCATCCATTATTACAACTGCTGGTCTGTGAATAAGAGCTCTGGCTAAAGAGAGCCGCTGCTGTTCTCCTGGTGATAACACATCCTTCCTGAATCATTATATTTACTTTATACTCAGAAAATCTGAACAAACCATTCAAAGTCAACCTCATCTGTGATATTTCCACAAAGTGAAATCAGTTTCTCTAATTGTAAGCTGACAAGGATTTCCGTGATGGTATTGATGTCTGAATGGTCGATTAAGATAAAATCATTATAGTTACGTTCTCAAACCTGGTATATTCTCCATAGTTTTTGTATGAAGTGGGAAGAGTAGTTGGTCCATCAAAGATAATCCTCCAGTTGGTAAATAGCAGTTTTGAGGTAAAAACATTACTTCTTTTGAAGATATAGCCGAATGAATCGTTCCTGTATTCAAATGTTTAGAGATGAGTATTCTAAATCTTTTTTTACCTGATTGAGGTTTCCATAACCCTTTGAGTATTCTCAACAAGGAAGTTTTACCAGAACCACTTGACCCAGTCAAAAGAATATTTTTTCTTGCCTCGAATTGTACAGTGAGATCTTCAAGAAAATGAAATAATTGATCAACTAGAAAGTGAACAAACTGGAAACTTCTGTCTTCGGTGCACCCTGAGCATAGATATTAACATTATCCAATTTATATAAAATAGGTTCTTTTTCATTTAGTTTAGCTACGGTGTTGTCTTCATCGGTAACAGCGCGACAGAAAGATACAAATTCTCCGATTCTATAAAGAGTCTTAGAAAACTGTGGGAGGGACTTGTTAACCTGATAGTATATGCCGCCATTTCCCCAATATTCATTGCTAAATCAGTTAATCTAGTGAAACTGTTTATGAGATAAATGAAAACGAAAGCATTCTGTAAACATCAAGCTGTAGAAAATATTTAAGTAAAAGATTATCTATTACATTACTGATCTGGGTTGTCAACTTTCCGGGAGTATAGTCACTGTATGAGTTCATGATGAAGACAGGAATGAATTGAATCAGATATGTCAGCACACCTCCATAATAATCAAAGAACAGTTGGAACCCTATTAAATTCTTCGAGATTAGTTGAATATTCGACACTTACATTGAGCAGGATATTTCCACCAGGCATATCTTTCTAAGGTTAGTATCAACACATCCAGAATTTTGTTTGACTCAGTCTAAAACTAAATTTGAAAAACAAGAAAATTTACGTCGTCCACACTTTTTCGAATTCACCCGCGTCATAAAATGCTGACTCTTCAGCGTTATCACGTACAGACATATGTTTGAATCTACAAAATAAGATGAACAATCTGATTTCAAAAAACATACCTGAAGTTTCCTTCAGCCTTTTCTTGTCGTCTTGTCCATCTAGTAATAGGTATAGCCATAATACGGTTTGCGATGAATCCGATAACGAAATAGCCGTATATACAAGCGACAGATATTCCACCAGCTCTGCAAATTGTAAAAAAGTATTCACAATAATGAACTTTCAGGTTACGTTTTCCAGGTCTTATATGTGTAGAATGCAATAACAGCTGGAGCTACAATGACATAGGGAACGATTGATTGACCAAAAATTGTTGTGAGTTTTTCAGCATCTTGAGATATTCTTTGATCTCTAAAATGAGTGGTCGTCTATTCTACAATCAATCAAGTCTTCTCCAAAAAGCCAGATAATCATATTTCAATTATCTTTCTTTGATAAGAAACAGTAGCATTACTTACGGGTTATCAATGAATTTTATATTATCGTGGCAGAGATGAAAATACGCTTTTCGCGAAAAATACATTTCATGTAGTTTTTTAACCAAATTTTTTCGTAAAAAATATGAAAGAATCCATGACAGAAATGTGAATGTTGCAATCATCTGAAGTCATTACTGTATCTCACGCATTCTCATATGCACACTACCAATGTCTGTCCAATATAGAGAATTGATGCTTTATAGAATGTTTTCCAAAAAGCTTTTTCATCATGATCCAATAAAGCTCCATAGAATTTACCTATTATATTACCAGATCTGTAGTTAATGAACTCATCTGGATAATAACTATGAATAACTGAATAATCATATGATGCTAACTTCCTGCTGAAATGATGAAAACAGCTGCAAGAAGAGCATAGCTCCATGTTGCGCCAGAGAACATAAGAGTAAATATGGTATAAAAATCTTTGAAAAGAGAATAAGACCATCTGCTAGCTGGTAAAGGCTTCATTCTCTGTAACAACAATGATAGAAAGGAGGAAAACAAGACGAGACAATAGAAGAAAAAATCTTCAAATGCATTAACAATCTTGATGAAGGAGCATAATTCATAATATATTTTGTGTAATACATATTGAAAACATTCATTCTTTCACACAAAAACAATGTCTGTAACGCAATCTCATATCATACTGTAAAGATCGAAACGATTTCAATTGCATGTGATATACGACTCTTATATATATTCGCCCTTCATGATTTATCAATTTATTTTATCAGAAAAATTCATAGAACGTTCAAATTTTACAAATTCGACTCAATTCATTGCCACTGTATGCAATTTCATTCTAAATGTAGATTGTTGCGAATGTTACCCTTCGTTTTCGTGTGTTAATCATTCTTTGAAGTCATTAGTCTACACACTTCCTTTGTTAATATTTTTTGTTATCAAGCTTTGAATGCCCTCAGGTCGTCTCATACTACTGATAAAACACCAAAAAACAGTCAATGGCTCCATAAGAGGTCATACAGTTATACTAGATTAACCTTGATGATAATAGTATATAAAGGTATATATGATCTTGAATCAAATATAATCTTCTGATTAATCGACTGATATAAGGTTTATCGGGATGAAATAAAAAACAATGAGGTGATAACCTTGATCTACATCTTCATCGTGGTTAGTTATAAGAGACTTATTCATAACTATTCTGTTACATCCTAACATGAAGAGTATTTTGATATTTGCTTGTATCTTGACGTTATGCTCAGGTAAAAAATATCTAACCATGTTCGAATTTTATTTATAATTCAGCTTCTTTAATCTCATGTCCCAATGGTCAACAACCAGAGAAAGATGATACTGGAAAGCTAATACAGTGTCTGCCAGGTTTGATAGCATATTTTTTCTTTGTACGATATCAATGTACCTTTCTTTATATCTAGGATTATCCGTTTCCCAGTGTGGTAAAGCCTACGGTTGCTTTTTTTCCGGAGTTAATTACCTATGTTGTCCAAACAACGAAATAGCGAACAGAACCAATGTTTGTCCAGCAACATACACTACTGTTATGAGCTCTCAAGGTGCACCGGTTAAATGTAATTTGTATCAAAGCTGTCCTCTTGTAAGTTTCAATCTGTGAATGAATTTTTTTTATTTTGATTTACAGCGCAAAATGGAATGTGTACACACAGGTCGTGATTATACCTGTTGCGAACCATATCTATTGACAAAAAAATCAAAGCAAAGTTTGACGGGTAAAATTTTAATTCAATAGTACCATTAGAAAAACTTGATCTTGCAGAATGTCCAAAAGGAACTAAAAATGTGATAAATGAACAAGGAAAAAAGGTTATGTGTCTAAGAGAAACTCAATGTGTCAATGTAACAATACTATAAGCTTATATATGTTCAACACATCTTTTGAAGGAAAATCAATTCTGCTTTGGCAGAAGAAAAGTTTGTTGTGAAAGAATCCCTCAGGAAAAGCCAAGAAAAAGTATTTTCCATAAGAGTAACAATCTATCAGGTAAGTCATCCGTATAAATGTTAGCAAACCAACTTTCTTGAAGGCTGGATTGGATTCCGTGCTACATAAGCCATCTTTAAACATTTCTGGTTCGGTTAATTTTGTTTAATAAACTTGCTTAGTACATCAATCATTAGCCATTGACGTGGTTTGAAAACGGTTCTAAAAAAATAAAAAAAATTAGAGAAGAAAGAGAGGTTGTAAAAATAAAAATCCTGTTGTTTTGAAAACAGTTTTTGAAATTTTGCATTTTGAGCGTTTTAAGCTCTCCCAGAGTGTTTCTTATAAAAAAAAATTTTTTTTTATCTGCTACTGTCAGACAACCCTTAAATTCTTAATTTTGAGTCGTAGTATTGCACAGGAATACTGAATTTCTCAACAAAAACTTTACAACGCAATTCATGGAACACTTCTCAATTGAACTATGAATTATTCGTGATTGTAATTGCAAACAGTATACATAATAAACTAGACAATAGAATTATCAAAGTGGGTCGAGTTCGTGAT